AACTCACTGTGACTGATTCGCTAAAGCTGTCTAATAATGTTGTCAAGCTTTCCAGCCAACTAACCACTGTGTCCTCCTGTCTTTTGTTGTCTGACCCCTCCCTTCCTCACACTAACATCGTCGCGTCTCTGTTTCATCATCTGTCTTCAATCGCCTCCTATTCACCTCCTCGTCCTTTTCCATTTACGATCCTCATCGCCAAGGCGGGCCAGTCTTTCCTGGCCTTCCAGAGATACAAGCTAGGGGCCGACTCGGCCCTCTTCTCCCAGGACTACACAGACCCCAGCCAGGATGCAGCCGGAGCCCCCTACACCTCATTCGGTGGGGATGACCTGGAGAGCCCGGGAGGAGGAGGAGGCCAGACCAACAGTGACGGGGCCTTCGATGGATCCGGAGGCTACCAGCGTCAAGAATACTGAGATGTTAGGAGAGATTTATGTATCCTGATGAAGTTGTCCAAAGTTTCTACTTCAAAATAATATTTGTGCTGTTTTGTGTTACACAAGAAACACTGAATCCATTACTTAGTGTATTGGGCAGATCTTTTATCACATCCTAGATCCAACAACCTCAAGTTTTGAGTTGCAAATTTATTGCTACAATTTACTGTTTTTATTGTTACGTGCAGGGGTTAAAGTGGGATCTGGCAGGTGAGGAAACCTGAAGATCGGGTGTAGCGGTGCAGCATGGGGAGAAAAGATTTACTTTGAAATAATTCACAGAAAATCCTTGTTTGGTTTTTGAGTTCCAGCAGATTTCTTTGTGTACATGCTGTGACTCAATATTCACTGTTATTCACAAGATGTAAGCAGCTGCATGTACAGCTGATTTCAACTAGACAGTAAAAAGTTAGTATAAAAAGATCGGATTCTATGAGTGAGTGTGCACCACGCCATCACCTTAAATGTAAATTGATGTCTGCTACCCCTGATGTAAGCCAACACCACAACACCACAGCCTATAACAGTCTAACATAGTGCATCATTGTAAGCTCTATCACAGAACTGCAAATTAACTACACTAACCTGCAGTCTTTGACTATCTAAAATGAGTATACTTCAATTAGTTTGACAACACGTGTAGATTTTAAAACTCTGAAACCGATTCTGTAACAGCTTTAAATTTCATCTCTGAGATGAAATTCTCTCTGGGAAGTACACTAAGTTGCTCCATTTATTCTCCTCGTCTTTACTGCGAGGAAGATGCTGAAGTACCACGACCACAACTTTACATCTGCACCATGAACACATCACAGGGATGAGAAGGAAAAGGGGGCGTGTTGATGTGTAAAAGCTCTGTGGTGTGTTGTTATTTTCTTACTACTGAGCAAGTGTCTCCAGGCCATCACTGGAAGTAACACCAGGCTGAAGCATAAGAAAAATGACCTCATTCCACAATCATTTATTATTTATTAACTCAAGGTACCAGAAAATTGTTAAGACCCACTTTAACCCCTGGTTATGTGCACAAAATAATGTGCCCGTGACAATAATGTAAAGAAAACATATTATTAAAGGTCAGTACAACAAAAAAATAGTGTACTTTTAAAATGAACAGGGAGAGATTATGACATTTTACATTTAAGACTTACACCAACGATCAGCTCAGTTGACTTTGTGATCTTAACAACAGCTTCTGCATTTAGGTGGTGATTTTTATCCCATGTGACAAACACTGTAGTAATCAGAGTTAATGTCATCAATTCTGGCAAGTTTATCTGTCTTTTTGTCAAAAAAAACTCCACAAAGTAATCTTGGGCATCCCCCAGATTTTGGATGCATAGGTAACAGGTGGTGATCTCAGGAAGGTGCAGTTAGGCAGACAAACATCAGTGGGTTCACCTCATCCTTGGGAAGGAGCTACAGAGTGCAAACACGCCAGGTTTTACTGGAGGTGTTAATTCGGGGTTTGGGGGCAGGGGGTGGATTAGAAACTATCGGCAGGTCACCCTGTAGCTGATCAATGCTTGTGACCACACTGCCTTCAACTTGTGAGGTCTTCAGTCGGTCAGCAAAATAAGCGCGATAGCTAAAACGCTCCCAAACAGACACACACGCACAGGTTCACAGCCTATCGATGCTGCGAACACAAGTTTTTGCTGACAGAACTCGTCGATGGGCCATTACAGGATATCAGCATAGATAAACAAGCAGCAGTGGCGTATCAGGCAACTAATCCCCTCCCCTGTATAATGAGACTGTGTTTGCATTGAAATTTGTCCTTTTTTTCTTATTTCCTTGAAATGTTTTTATGTTTCCCTGTGAAGCTTTTTCTTTCCTCAATTGTTGCCTTAGTGCTGACTGCCAAGCAGAATCCATCACGCAGGAACACAAGCCTCCACCACACACTGATGCGCTCTTTCAAAGTCTTAATGTACAGCAAAATGAATTTGGTCTTGTTTTGTCCTTGAGCACGTCAAACCACTTTAGAAAAGCAAGCGTTTGTCATCAGTATAGAGCGTTCCTTATCAGCAGGTCTGCGGAAAACTTGTGTGTGTTTTCCGCTCGTTGTCAGCAAATCTGCAGGCATCCTCAATATTTATGAACATGCATCGCTCCATTTTTTTGTGCTCCATTTTTCTCCAGTGTATCTGTCTGTATAAACATATGTAAATCTATAATTGAGTATATAACAGTGTTCGAAAAAGATTCTGCTTTATTTTAGGGCATTAAGTTAGTTCTATATTTAAAAAAGACAAAAGAAAGAAAGCTCTGTGGTCTGTTGAGTGTTATTGTGATAAGATATATGGTGAGGTTATCCATGCCTCATCCTTTGTGTTGCTCTCGAGGTAAGGAGAAGTTTTTATTTTGGGGATAACGATATTAAATATTAAAATATGCATACATATATATGGCTACGGAAAATGTGACCAAATTATCAAAGTATATATATGCACATATATACTTTATGCTGTACATCTGTGTAGACGTAGAAATGTGTGATGTTCCTCTGTGAAATGAAGCAAATTAAGATTAAAGAAAAAAACAATTGTGTACAAATGTATGTTTCTGATGTGGTTTTAACCAATAAAAATAAAGAAAATACTGAATAAAAATGCAAGATGAGATGAGAATCTCTGGTGTTGGATTTTTGGATTACAGTACTGTGCAAAATTTATGAGCCAACCCTCAGAATTAAAATACATTGGCAGTGTGTGTGGTTGTTTTTGTGCTGAAAAATGAATCCTTTCCCAATCAGATGCTTTCCCGATGCTATTGCATGGTGGCTCAAGCTCTAATAGTACTTCTCTGAGTTCATAATTTTAGCAATTTTAACAAGATCCCCACAGCTCTGGTTGAAATGCTGCCCCCCAAAAAGGACAGAGCGTCCACTGGGTTTTACAGGTGGCTGTAGACACCCACTGTGATACCTGTTGGCACTGATTTACAGTCCAATCGTTTTTTTCTTTTCTCTTCCCTTCCTTAAAAATGGCTTCTTGTCAGCCACCCGTTCACTGAAACAGTTTCTGATGAGGTTTCGTTGAACAGCAGATGGATCAACAAAATGACTTACAGATCGTATTCATCTCGTGTAGATATTTTTTAGGCCTGCCACTTCACATCTTGTCCTCCTCTTATCCAGTGTCCTCACATTTTCTAAGGACACACTAAACATATTGCTGGGATATGCTAGCAACAGGTCTTTGCAAATTATTTTACATGTTTTATTTCTATAATTCACGGGCTAAGTGGCTTAACAATGACAGGAAACAAAAACATTCCTGTGAAAACAGTCGTGCACAAAGGCTGGACGGAAAATGAGTTGTTTTTTTTTTTGTTTGTTTTTTAAATCACTCAATGGCAAAAGAAATACTTTGAAAGACTGTCAGAAAGCATGGAGAACTATTACTGAAGACCACTTGATGTGGGGGTGGCTCGAGATTTAACTTCTAAATGTTGTATCTCTCTTAGACCTTTATAGAGAATGCTGAAAAACATCAACTTTTCATCTGGGGTGAGCTTACTTATGCATGAAACATTTATCCATTTATTTTTCAAAGCTGTAAATGGTCACAAGCAGGCTGGTTAGTCCACTATTTATAAGACACAGCTCCCCCTGCTGGCAGGAGTTTTACCCGCGAGTTCAACTGCAAGACAGCTTTTAATTCAGTGCAGTTATTTTTTTTAAACTTGCTCTTTCTTTTGTTTTAGTTCATACTGTTAATGTACTTTTAAAATAGTTAATTCGAGAAGAGTAAAGCTGCTAAGCGCATGTGTGGCTAATTTTATAATATGGAAAAATACATAGTCTAAGCACAAAATACTAAATTAAGAATGTGTGCTACTTTTTGGAAGGGCGATTGAATATATAGAAGTTTACTATGGTAGTTTAAGAAATTACAATCACAATAAACATAAAAAGTGTAAAGCAAAAAGTGTAGAAGAGGTAGTTTATGGTAAACACATGGTGGCGGTATTGTCAAAGAAAACCGGTTCAGCAACAAAGCAGAAGTCGGGAGTTTTTCTTCCTTTCTTTTTGTCGTTTTATTAAACAGTTTTTTCAGTTTATTATTATTTACTTATCTTTGCCACTTTATAAATGAGGCAAATCAAAATGTATTATGGAAATACAAAACACGCTTAGAAAGAGACAAAAAAACCCAAACAAACAAACAAACAAACGAGCTTGACGTTATTTGCTGCCTTCAAATACCATCAGAATTGCTGAAACAATTTAGCATACGAGTGTAAATCTTACCGTCTCCGATATCCTTCAAAGGACGCAGCCCCTGAATTTGGATCATGGCTCACAGACTTGCATGTGGAAGAATTAGGAAAGACGGGTATAAGAAAGCAAGACGTATATGCAGTTCCTGTTGTTAAAACGCGATAACAATAATTTTAATATGTGAATACGTTTTATATCCGTACACTACCTGGTAATGGTGAATTTAGCTGTCGGTTTAGATATACATTTTTAATTCAATTTTACTCTCGCATAGTTTTCCTTCCAACTTCAGACTTTGAAGCTGAGATTTTCTACCTCTGTGCTGAATCGTGAACGTAACGAGTTCCGTTCAACATGGCGGCCCAGCGTAGGAATTTGATGCAGAGCGTAAGTGAAAAGCTTGCCGTTTGTTACTCAATATGTAAAGTTCCTCTGCTTTTGAAGACTGGCGTCTTACAGTTTTTTCCTCGGTGTTCATCGCTGGTTGTTTGGTCCAATGCTTCCCGTGTAGCTAATTTAGTTGAGCTCATGAAGTGTTTGGCTAACAGTTAGCTAGGCACCTTAATTAAAAAAAAAAAATGGACTAATACGATTTATTAGCGTCTGTATTCAGCACTGAGAAACGCTATCGCTTGAAGCAGGAGGAGACAATAACACGACCGATGCTGTTGTTGCAGTCCCTGGGACATGGTCCATATAACCTGCGTGAATTAGCTAAACTTGAGAGTCACAAACTGGTAATTAGCCATATTGTGAACAACACAAACGACTATTTCCGAGCGACTAACTTTTCTCAGTCGTTTTGTGAGTATGTGGATATCTTATGACACTTTTAATTTTACATAGACTGCTTCCCATTTGCCCTACGCGGAGATGCTATCGGTCTCTCCTGGGCGTCAATGATTCACATTAAAACTTTAGGCTAGGCAAGGTAAGGCAGATACAGGTGTGGTAAAACGGAAGTACACCGTTTATCCCTCTGAGCAGGTAAATACCTCAGATGAACAACAACACATGACAGACACACTGTTATTAGTTCTTGTCTGAAAGCGACCACGATTCAGTAGCTTGTTGAACCACTTTAAGCAGCAGTTGTTGAAGTTTTGTGTACGACTTTATCACTACCTCACATCATTGTGATGAACTTTGGCTGACTTTTCTTTGTTTGCCTTCATTGTTCGGTTTATTAGTATCTCTTTATGCACATCCCCCACCACAGCATTTCAGTCAGGTTGAAGACTGGATGAGTGCAACAAATAAATGGACTGGCTCTTAGCGCATTTCTGCTGTATTTGAGCACTGAAAGTGCTTCTGTTATAAGTGTCAGCCACTCCATCTCTCTTTCTCTCTCACACACACATAAAGGTCTTTTGTCTACACCTAAGTGTTAAAACACACTCATCGAAGTCGAGGATTGATCCACCAACCTTCCTATTGGCAGGCGGCCCACTAAAGCAGGGGTGGGCAACTCCAGGCCTCAAGGGCCGGTGTGCTGCAGGTTTTAGATGTGTCCTTGATCCAACACAGCTGATTTAAATGGCTAAATTATGTCCTCAGCATGTCTTGAAGTTCACCACAGGCCTGGTAATGAACTGGTCATTTGATTCAGGTGTGTTGACCCAGGGTGATATCTAAAACCTGCAAGACACCGGCCTTGATGCCTGGAGTTGCCCACCCATGCACTAAACCAACTGAGCCACAGCCCCCGCACCTTTTCCACCATTCTCCTGTAGACTTGTTACTTGGATCATTGTCCTCTTGAGTTGCATTTGTGCTGATATGGTGTGTTTAGTTTTGTCCAAACGTGTCACTGTGCACTGTGGCAAAACCTCAGAGTATTAACCTGCCCATGTAGATTATAATCTGCTGTATCGATATCACTATAAAGACATTGGCTTATCTGTAAGCGAAAGTGTCGTTCACAGTCACAGTGAAAAGTAAACACACCCTCTTTCAGACCTAAAGTTGCATGTATCACGGGCATTAAATGGCATATTATACTACAGTATAATATAATATTGTACCCAGTTTCAAATTGTTTAGAAAAGAACTTCTAACCTTTCCAACCATCCCCAGACTGATTGAGACAGCACTTACTTCTCTAAGATCATCGCTAGCGACTTTCCTTATGCGTGTAACACACATCTCAACAGCCAAAATGTCTGATGTTATAGAGGTGTTCACTTGGAAGCAGTGTAAGTAACGGTGTGCTTAGTTTATTCACACACAGTTTCTCCATTTTGGCTTAATTTGTGTAAATAATAAAAACTTAACTTTATAATAATAAAACTTTAGAATTGAAAGAGGATGTGCTTTGTTTTCACCACGACTGTGTACGACACTTTCCATTACAAGTATACTGAATGTGTTTATAGTGACTGACACCAGGAACGTCATCTACAATGTTAACAGTGAAATGTGCTTAAGAGTAATTTGCACCATAATGCAAAATAAATCGTATAGTATAGTATAATAGGAGCACCTAATGATGAATGACCTATTTTTCTGGCTCAGGGAGGCTACAGTACAAACTAAAGCACCATCGGTGCTGAGTGTGTTACTGCATCTGACAGAAGTGTTTGTAATTTCCTGTTGGACCATTTAATAAATTCAAATGTCAATGAAACCTCATCATATCAAAGCTGGTTTGATGCTGGGGTGTCTTCATGATGGCAACTTTATAGGATAAAGGTGTAGGGAAAATATCTGTGACGACAGTTTAATTAATTTCTGTGTCGGTTTAAATCTTTTATTTTACACAAATACTGCTTTCAAACTTGAGTTTAGCACGTAGGCCAAGTATTTGTTTGATTTTTCTTTTTTGATTTCGTTTTTTTTATTAGCAGCATCAAAGCTGGACAGATGACCTGCCTCTGTGTCAGATGTGTGGGGTCGGAACAGCACCCAACTGTGTGTACGGCCCTGATGGCAAAGGAACTCAGAGCCACCCCAACGAGGATGGACACCTCAGGTTCAGGTACACGATTCGTCCAGTGTGAGACAAATAAGGGTCATCGTTTTGAACTGTGACTTGTTCAGAGCTGCTTTAGTAAAGTGCAAGAATTAAACTAATACTGAGCAGGGAACATGCATAATGCATCCACTTTGAGTTTGTTTACTTGGGCCAGTCCTTGCTAATGTTGTAAGGAAACTTGCTGACTCATTCACTTAAAACTGTACTGAGATTCATGATCAAACTTGTCGGTAGCAGTGTTTCTTACCAGAATAGTAAAATCCTCAATAGTTTCTTATTTAATCTCACAGAAAACAAAGATCTTGGACTTAGCAGGAAAACACAGCAATGCCTGGGCAGAGCACATGAACATGTAGCTTTAAATGTGCACTGGTAATGTCTGAGTCACTGAAGTGGTAAAGAAATAGGTAGTTGGTATTTGTCCCTTTTTATAGAGGCTCAGGCTCTGCCAGAGAAATGTGTTTCATCGTTGTAGACTTTGCTCGTCTAATTATTTGTAAATGAATCATTTTTATACAAATGTTCTTACATCTACAGTTGTTACTGCAACAAACACAGCGAGAACGTGAAAAGATAGCACGGCTCTGAGAGTAATTCATAGTTTTTTCAAACATAGGTGCCATGTTTGTTGAGCTTTTCTTTTTTTTTTTTTCCCACAGAGGTGATGATGGCTGTTTCCTGTACGGGGTTTTTAATGGTTACGATGGCAGCAGAGTGGCCAACTTTGCTTCTCAGTGTCTGACAGCAGAACTGCTCCTGGGGCAGCTAAACTCCGGTCACACAGACAACGACGTCCGCAGGATCCTCACACAGGTCTGTTAAGTTAACTGCTGTAACTGTTGAGGAAAGAAACTAGAAACATTTTCTTACTTTTGCAGTCTGTTAAGGCAGAACCTGTGACAAAACACTGCACACACAAAATGAATCTTTAAGCCTCTTTAGCCCAGTCTGTGTCAGCCCTGCTTCTGGTTCCAAGCTCTTACTGCGTTTAATAACCAAATATATGAGCGATCCATGAAAGAATCATTCTGAGGCTTTCAGTTGGAACATGTAGCTTAAGATCAGGAAGTTTTTCACAGCGAGTCATCAAAACCATGCACAATGACTAACCTTGTGTTGGTGGCAGGTGGATCAAAGTAGAGCTCCTGGTAGAGCAGCCACACTGATCATTTTATTGACGATGACAGAATTTGGGTCATTTTTATTTTTATTTCTGTACATTTCATCATCTTTTTGTTATCCTCCTCTTCTTCATCTGCCTCCTCCAGCTCCATGCTCACTTGAAGCCCCATGTCCTGAACTGAAGACAGGGATCTTAAGCGCAAAAATGTTTATGAACGTGCTTATTTATTCCTTGTATTGTTGTAGTTGCTGATTTTCAGCAGATCAGACATGTGACCCCTCATGTCTCCCGACAGCAGACAAGAGCCAGCTGTGACGGCAGTAGCTAAATATAAGTTAACGTTATGCCAGAAAACATTAGGCTAGAGTGTCCTAAAAAAGCACGCTTTCCCTCTGCTAATCAGTTTGATTATATTCTCAGGTTGTATGGGAGTTTATTCACTAAAAGTCCAAGTCCAGCCTTGTTACTTCCACTTTGAAGGAGGTTTCAGTAACACAGGCTAACAGCAGCTAACAGTGCCAAAAACAGCAGCACACACTTACGGAAAAGTTACTTACTGTGAAAGATCACAAAATATTTCATCTTCATGTTTTTTTTTTTAGTCCTGATCCTTTGCTAAGTGTTGATATTATTCAAAAATGCTAAAATACAGGGTGTTTTATACAAAATCATAGAAACGCACTGGCCCACCGTGGTTGCTATGTGAGGGTTAAATGTTTAAACTACCCTCAGATATGTTTAAAATAAAGCTACATTGAAGTTATTACCTTTTAGTATATAAATAATACTAATACATTATAAACAAGGCTTTATTTTCATATGGAAAAAAATATACTCAGACATGCTGTATAAAACTTTTCTGAAACATAAACATAAGCTAATCTGGAGAAACGCCAGCCTTATCATTTATTAAAATAATCAGCGCGGTTCCTTGAGGCAGAAACTGCGCTGATTATTTTAATAAATGAATAAAAGTGTAAAATCTCATTCTTGCCTCGAAGACATTGCTTGCCTTTGCTGCCGCTACATATTTTGATTTAATACTTAAGCCAGCGGTTTTATTTTCCCCCACACTACAAAAACATTTATGGATATTAATTAAACCATAGTTAATGTGAAATGCCTGTTTCACTTTTTCACGATCGTTTAATGCGACTTAAAGCTTTTTGCGTTAAACAAAAAACGAAACATAACCGTGCAGTGCATTTAAGGGCTAGTCAGATTATAGAAAGATGCTCTGTGTGGGTCATAATGCACTACTGTGGCATAAATGAACCGTATTCATACACTGTGCTTCCCTCACATAGCAGGTCTCCCAGGTGTTTTTCACTTTTCACTACTCAGTCAGTAAAAATTCTCTGTTGTAGTTTATAGATTATAGATTTTCTGTGCACATATGTAATAATTATTTTTTTGTGTGAACGCGGGCTGCATGTGTGTTCTTATCTTATGTTTGTCATGTCTTCAGTGCCATCTGCAAATCATTCAGTAGCAGACAATCCCCCTGTTGCTGTTCTGAAAGTTCACTCTCTGCTTCCTCTACCTGCTGGTCTGGTGGTCCTTGTTTTCATTCATTGAATCTCCAACTGTAGCTTCTTGGCCTGCAGCTGGCAGTGATGGTCCTTGTTCTGCTCTGGTCACGAGCAAAACAAGGACCATCACTGCCAGCTGCAGTCCAGGCCCATTAAGCCTGAGTTGACATTTCAGTATTGACGCTCGCTCTCACGCGTGTTGACACTTGACATTATGCACGCTGTTGTTGCTGCACTGCAGGCCTTTGATGTGGTGGAGAAGAGCTACTTTGAAACCATAGATGATGCTCTGGCTGAGAAGGCTAACCTGAGCAATTACCTCCTACCGCACAATGAGGTAGGAACACTTTACTTTTCTCTTTTGGTTTCCATAACAACCACAGATTTAGGCTTTGATGTGAGCTAGTATTTAGCCACGGGAGAATGAGCTTGTTATTCTTTTATTTGGGCTCATCACTCTCTTTCGTCAGATAAGATACTCAGCTCTTATTCTTTTCTTGCTTTTTTATCATTTGTCTAATTCTCTCTTTTTTTCCCTTCATTTCCCGTCATCTGTCCTGCTCCTACTTGCTTCATTTTCCTCTTCCTTTCCATCTTCTACTCTGTGCCTTCACCTCTCGGCCAATCAGAATGTTCCGTTCCACCAGCTTTCTCCTCAGAGTCAAAAGGTGATGGAGCGGCTGAAGGAGCTAGAGCAGGAGGTGTCAGGAGGCGCCACGGTTGCGGTGGCACTCATTCTCAATAACAAGCTCTACATTGCAAACGTTGGTAAGTTGATTCTGGTTATGTCAGCGATGACGCTTTGATTTCCTGTTTAATGTGTGATCGCACTTGATCATTTGCAACAGAAACAGTTGGCAGCAAAACCACCAAAAGGCCAGCCAGTAACAGACAGCCATGACACAGTCTGCTTTGCACCAGCAGATGTCAGGCTTCACACAGATTTGTGTTTGGTTACTGGCCACTCTGTGAAAATGACCGAGGCTGCTTTCAGCCTTTCAGCCTTTCAGATTTCATGAAAATCCATGTTAGCTCCACAGTGTCAAAACTGGCTCAGTGGGCAGCTGCTGCAACAAGAGACTTTAATGTTTATGACTGTTCATGTTTTATCTCATTAAATAGTAAAGTCTCTATATATACTTATGGAATGCACTTGTTCACTGATGGAGAATAATGCCTTCCTTATTAAAGGTTGGAGAAATGGCCTGATGCAGTTGAGAGCCAATATAGTGTTACATTAGGGAATAATAGTTTGTGTCAAAGGATGAAGCAGTGCAGTGTCTACACATAACAACTTGATAAAGAACTCATTTTAAATGGTAACTTTAGGCACTTTGTTACTAGAAGCTTGGCACTAAAACACAGAATTTGTTCCCATTTCCTAAACTGAACTTGCAAAAAAATGGTGAAACCTCGTCAGAGATGGTCTCAGTGGAAGGCTGGCTGTCAAGAAGGCATTTTTGAGGAAGGGAAACAGGGAGGAAAGGCTGAGGACTGCCAAATTACACAATAACAAGCCGTGGCAACACAAAATATGCAGTGATTAATCCATTTGAAATGTAATATCTTTGGTTCATGTACAGAGAAGGTCAGGGGAGAGGTACAACAGTGAGTGTCTGCAGCCATCTATAAAATAAGGTGCCGGCTCTGTTATAATGTGACACTTCAAATCAGCCAGTGGTGTTGGGGATCTGCTAGATCTGACGTTTGGAAAACTGATCACAGAGGCCTTTCCCACCTGTTGTTCAGACTTTTTTTTTCGAGTGAAGCTGGTGAGAAGAAAGCTGCCTGATAGGGTGGCGCTAGAAAAGAGCATAATAGTCCCACTTTAAAGTATTCTTATTTAAACAAAGCAAATGAACAGGGAAGCAGGGAACATTTTTGTGTCATTTCATTGCCCATCAACTAGGTAAAGGAGGGGGAAAATGAGTTGTTAATCCACAGGTTTAGTGAAGACAAAACATACATATAAATCTATGCCAGCTGCCATGGAACTTGATAGCTACCTGACAGCACTGAGAAAAAATCGCAACACTCATAAATAGTAGATTTAAACTTGTGTGGCAGATTCTGCAAACTCCTATGTGACTTCTCTTTCTAAAGAGTGCTGCCAGACTCTCTTTTAAAGCCATGAAACCTCCATCTCTTCATAGAGGGTACTTGGGGTTTTCTTGTTTTTAACCAACTATGTGAGCTAATGCTGAATGCTCAGCATCAGCTGTAGGTACTAGGAGTAGTCCAGCTGAAATGTTCTGCAGTGCAGATGTGTTCTCTGGAGTAACGAATCACACTTCTCCGTCTAACAGTTCTGATGGACAAGCATGGGTTTGGTGGTTGTCGGGAGAGCGTTACTTGTCTGACTGCTTTGTGCCAAGTGTAAAGTTTAGTGGAGGGAGGATTATGGTGTGGGGTTATTCATCAGGAGTTGGGCTTAGTTCCTGTAAAAGGAACTCTTAATGCTTCAGCGTACCAGGACATTTTGGACAATTTCATGTTCCCAACTTCATGGGAACAGTTAGGAGATGGCCCCTTCCTGTTCTAATATGACTGCAGATCAGTGCACAAAGCAGGGTCCATGAATAAGCAAATTTTAGTGGGAGAACTTGACTGGCTTCCACAGTTTCCTGACCTCAACCCAACAGAACACCTTTGGGATGAATTAGAGCTTAGACTGTGAGCTGGGACTGCTCGTCCAACATCAGTGTCTGACCTCACAAATTTGCATCTGAAGAATGGTCAAAAATTCCCATAAGCACTCCGAAACCTTGAGGAAAGCCTTTGCAGAAGAGTTGAAGCTGATATAGTTGCAAAGGCGGTGTCCACATCACATTAAACGGGAATGGGATGTTACTCGAGTTAGATGCATGTAAAAGCAGTCAAACATAGTTTTGGCAATATAATATACGCTATATATCAACGCTGAAGCCTCGTCAGAGATGGTGATTTGGTTAGTATATAACCAGATGCCATCACTGAACGTTTATGTCCACGGGAAACGAGGAATGCATTTCCACATGCTGTGTTTCCAGCAGCCCACAGACAGATGGAGTTATGGAATGATATTGACTCTTTTAATTCAAACCATACCAACAGTGTCCATCAATATTTTTAAATCCCAGCTTGCCGACTCGGCTCCTGCGGACAACAGCTGCAGTACTAGCATCATAACAGCTAGTTCTGCCTGCATGATTTATTGTGTGTGTTTATGTGTTCTTTAAGCTTCAGAGTGGAAAACGAGCATCTACTGTTAATATCTGAATACACAAACCCGCAGGCCATTTTAGATCCTTAACTGTAAGAAAGTTCAAACAAGGCAGCAGGGCGCAGTTCTTCCCACACAGACGCACCAACTTTGAAGAGCGACAGCGATTTTCCCCCAGAAGGATTTCAGTTTAATAATCATCAAAGCTGCTGCCAAAGGCTGCTGCATATTGAGCTTTGTTTCAGATAAATGTGAACACTGGATATTCCTATTTTTGGTGGATTTATTCACTAATCCAGGGGATGAATCTTACCTATTGGAAATACCTCAGTTTTGCAAAACCCTTTAAAAGCACTGCTTCACGTTTCTTTCTTTTAGCTTCCTGATTTGATGCTGGGGCACACACAGGAAAAGAGCCTCACTCTCCCTCTCAGTTGGATTTTTCTTTTGTCCTTGAGGACGTGGAACAGGGCACAATATGGGGAGGTGGGTAGTAATTAGTAGATGGTAGAAAGGAGGGATCGTTGTCCCCTCTGGTGCTTTGTGTGAGGGGGGGTCAAGAGTTCAAAGTTGACAGAACATGAGGCCCAGGGACGTTTAAACATAGGAGTAAGTGTGCTTGAAAATCGCTCCCAGCTGTGTGTTGATGTGAAACGCAGTTTGACAGTTAAGGTCATGTGAGTCACAGTTTGAGCTGCAAGTTGGAGTGTTTGGAGAAAGGGGGAAGGGCGCCGATATGTACACGCTCAATATCAGAAATGGTTGGCTGCTCTTTACAGATTAACAGACGTGCGTTTTCCTGACTATCACATCAGATTTAAACCCAACACTACCTGATTAACACAGAAGGTGACACGGACCCCTCCCTGTGTATTGTGGCTGATCCGGATGCCCTTATGTGCGGATTATATGAATAATGCACACATACACACACAGCCGAGCATAAGATTTGGCCGGAGGCGGGGGCAGCGTGGAACTGCACCGTGCTTCGGCTCAGCGGCCCCAAACTATTAATATAAAAGTGAATTAATCATTGATCTCTCCCTGCTCAGCTTTTGTGTGGTTGCAGAGGCAAATAATTAATATTTAGCTTTTTAAAAGTACCACAGCGTCTTAGCTCGTTAATTGGTGGAGAGTCGGACCTGTGAGTAACCTCAGAGCAACATCAAAGCCTCTGCATGATTAATGCGTGCAAAAATTAGAAGCCCAAATGTCTCATGAATATGGATAGGGGCTGAGAAAGATGAGACAGTATTTTTTTTTTAATTAACATTTTTTGTCTTGTTTTTATTTCATAAAACTTTTTTATATAAACTTTTATATGGAAGTTGCAGCTTATGGCACCTGTTTATTGACATGTATATAATATTTTAAAAGCAATCCTTTGTGTTTGATGCTAAAAGAGACATGTTAGCTTTGTGGTCTTTTTTAAAAAAAGGCTACACCAAAGAGCAACCAGCAGGGCTGAAGAATAAAGAAAATACAGATGTGCCAAAAACTGT